CGTTGGGCTGCCCCGCAGTCAAAAGGCAGCCGCCAGTAGGGGTTGCAACTGCCCCTGCTTCGAGGCCATGTGGAGAAGTGAGCGCGTGCGAACAGGACACTCCCAACCCACATGAGCCTATGGCAGAGATTGCAGGCCCATGCCTAGCTAGCTCTCCAGAGACCGCTTGTGTTAGCGTCTCTTTAGGCACGTCCCTCACAGGTGTGGCAGAAGAGTTAAAGGAGAGGATGCCAGACTGGGCCAAGATGAAGAAAGAGAGCAAAGGACAGTTGATCTTGGAAGATGTAGAAGTTTTCAGGAGTAGAGTAGGGGCCCTTGTAGATTCAGGGGCCACCCACAGAATATTAGCCGCAGAGCGCTGAATAAGTTAAGGCTAGGATTGAAAGTCCAAAAGTTAGCAGACCCTATAGTTAGTGTCCTCGCAGACAACCGCACAATGCGTGTTGAAGACTATGTAGAGGGAGTCCAGGCGTACTTCCGCCTAGAGAAGAATGGGAAAGTGGAGAAAGTTCTCCATTCCCTGACTCTCCTCGTACAGGATGACCTTCCTTTTGATGTAGTGTTAGGAATGGATTGGGGAGAGGCAACAGGGGCCACACTCCACTTGAGAGAGCATGAGTGTAGGCTCCCTTGTCCATCAGGCGAGGTCAATTTTCCCCGCTGTTTCATGTGTCAGGTGTTGGCACATTGCTGTCTCAGTGCTCCCGCGTTCGCGCGACTAGTGAAAAAGGAGCCGTTAGAGGACCAGGTCTTTGTAGTTTATGCCAGACCTGTCACTAAGGCTAAGGAAGGCGTGACTTCCACAGATCCAACAATTGCCAAGCTGCTGGAAAAGTTCAAAGATTTGACCGAGTCGCCGACAGGAGTGATGTCGCGACCCATCCACCACAAAATAGAGATAGAGCCTGGCAGTAGAACTCCTAAGGGCGCAATTTACAGGATGTCCCCTAGAGAGTTAAAGGAGCTTCGCCAACAATTAGACAAACTCCTTGAGAAAGGTTGGATCAGGCCCAGTTCGTCTCTTTTTGGAGCACCAGTTCTATTTGTCCCAAAGAAGGAAGGAGAGCTGAGAATGTGTATAGACTACAGGGGTTTGAATGCGATTAACGTGAAGAATGCTGAGCCGCTGCCCAGGATAGACGATCTTTTAGATCGGGTACAGGGTTGTAAGTATTTTTCCAAGATAGACCTGAAGTCTGGTTATCATCAGATAGAAGTCCATCCTGATGACCAGTACGAGACTGCGTTCCGGACTAGATATGGGCATTATGAGTTTATAGTGATGCCCTTTGGACTGACTAACGCGCCAGCGACGTTTCAGCGTTGTATGAATGACCTGTTTAGGCCATGGTTAGACAAGTTCGTAGTAGTTTATTTAGATGATATCCTAGTTTTTAGTAAGACCCTCCAGGAGCACCAGGGGCATCTGAGGCAGGTCTTGGAGAAGCTGCGAGAGGCTAACTTCAAGATCAACGCAAAGAAGTGCGAGTGGGCCAAGACACAAGTCTTGTACTTGGGCCACGTATTGGACGGAGATGGCATGAAGCCAGAGGACAGTAAGACAACGACGATTAGAGATTGGCCGACGCCCCGCACATTGACAGAGTTGCGGTCGTTCCTAGGCTTAGCTAACTATTATAGAAAGTTCGTGAGGAACTTTTCTACTATCGCCGCTCCCCTGCGCAGGTTGCTAAAGAAAGAGGCAATCTGGCAATGGGATAAAAACTGTACGTCTTCGCTAAAGAGATTAAAGCGCGCGTTAATAGAGTATCCTGTCCTCGAAGTAGCTGATCCGTCTCTACCATTTGTCGTTACCACGGACGTGAGTCAGTATGGTATAGGCGCCGTGTTGCAGCAAGACGACGACAATGGTTATAGACCCGTAGAGTTCATGTCAGCGAGGATGCCCTCAGAGAAGGTAGCCACCTCCACGCACGAGAGAAACTCTACGCTCTCAGGCACGCTCTAGAGCACTGGAAGCATTACCTGCTTGGGAGACACTTCAAAGTGTATTCTGACCACGAGACCCTTAGATGGTTAAAGACGCAGGCCAAGATGACACCTAAGTTGACTAGGTGGGCTGCAGAGATAGACCAATATGTTTTTGAGCTTAAGCAAGTGAAGGGAAAGTACAATGTAGTTGCGGACGCTCTGAGTAGGAGATCAGACTACTTTGGAGCCATAGTACACTATCTGGATATAGGGAGAGACCTGCAAGAGAAAGTGAAGCAAGCGTATGCGCAGGACCCTATCTATAGCGACCTCCTAAAGAGAGTTAGAGAGGCCCCAGAGATTGAGCCAGATTACCGCACTACAGACGGATTGCTATTTGAGAAGACTAACGTATTTGACCGCCTGTGTGTTCCCAACAACGAAGAGATTCGTAGTCTAATCCTAGGGGAATGCCACGATACAGAGGGACATTTCGGTTGGCAAAAGACTTTAGCCAACCTGGTGCGTGCGTACACCTGGCCAGGAATGAAGAACGACTGCATAAAGTACATCCGCAGTTGTAAAGTATGCCAGCGTAATAAGACTTCTACGCGCACACCTCTTGGTCTTCTCAGACCCTTGCCTATTCCGGATCAACCTGGAGACTCAGTGTCCATAGACTGCATGGACACCCAAGTCAAAAGCAGACATGGCAAAAGCCAAGTCATGGTCATAGTTGACCGATTTAGTAAATATGCAGTTTTTGTTCCTTTGCCTGCAGAGGCACGTACAGATTTAGTGATACAGAAGTTCTTTGACTTTTGGGTTAGTGAGAATGGAATCCCGTTGTCGATAGTTAGCGACAGAGATAGTCGTTTCACCAGCCAGAACTGGCAAGAACTCGTGAGAGTCTACGGATCTAAGTTGTTAATGTCGTCTGGCCGCCGTCCAGAGACTAACGGTCAGACTGAGCAGATGAACAAGATCCTACAGCAAGTTCTGCGCATGTACATTAGACCTGATCAGATCAACTGGGATGAGATGTTGCCCAAGGTAGCTAGCACATACAACAATAGCGTGCATTTGTCCACCTGTCGCACTCCCAATGAGCTGCACAAGTCCTTTAGGCCGCGTAGACCATTCGAAGGACTGAACCGGGATCAGATACACAGGCGATACAGCACGAGAAAGAACTAGCGACAGTTGTAGAGAACCTCAGGAAGGCCCAGCACAGAATGGTAGAACAGGCCAATAAGCATCGTCGCCCATCACAGTTTCAAGTAGGCGACTTAGTCTGGGTCAAGGCAAAAGAGTTTGCACCTGAGGAAAACATCTCGCAAAAGTTACTGCCTGCATATAGAGGGCCGTGGCCGGTTCTAGAAGTTAAGGGCGGAGAGGATGGACCGTCCTACACTATCGAGATTCCAGCACACCTCCACACATGCCCTGTGTTTCATGCTTCAAAGCTGCTGCCGTGTGTCACAAGTCAACAGTTCCCTTCAAGAAGATCCATGATCCCCCCGGATATGGATGGAAGCTATGACATTGACGACATTGTAGACGAAGATGTGTTTAGGACAGGAGGAAGAGGTCGTCCTCAGAAACAGTATAAGGTCCGGTTTGCCTATCAAGAATCGGAAGACGACCGCTGGTTCACGAGAACAGAACTTCTAGAAACAGCTCCCGACATAGTCAGAGCCTATGAGCGTGACAGGAAGGGTAAAGGTCCCGCCTTGGACTAAGATGTTCTCGGAGGACCTCGAATTTAGGACGGCAGGAGTGAAATGGTTTTCACCTCTTTGCAGTAACAGATGCAGATCCCAGGGCTCGATCCCTAGACCTCACCCTACCCATGTACAGTATCTGTGTAGACCCGAGAGT